TTGATTTCCAATGCCTCTAAAAGTCCAATTATATTCCATGGAAAACAGACATAAAAATATTCACTCTTTTGCTCATTCGGTAGAAAATTGTGTCTCCTTCTAATATTATACTCAAAGGAAGGATATTACTGTGTTTTCAAAAGATTTTCCAATTCCCAAATAATTTTGAAGGCACTCTTCCGTTACCCTTGGATTCAGGGTTTCCAAACTACAAGCCGTATATTTTCTGCGTACCAAAAACCATACATTTCTCTACGGCGATAAAGGGGAACAATATAGGGTTCATACAATTTACCAGTGAATTTGATCCATATTGTTAACTTTACAAGCCACATTGGTAAATGCAATGACATGACGATTTGTGGACGACGATTTCACGGTATTTAAAAGTTCCACAATTGGAAACTTTTTTCAAAACCGAATTATGCACTCCCTTCGAGCATAAAAATAGAAGAAAACATAATTTCCTTCCGAATAAGAGAAGGAATAAAAATTTTTATGCATGTTTTCTATGAAATATACTTGCTCTTCTAGAGATATCGAATATCAAAGAGAAAAGTACATGCTACTTAAGTACGCATTTGTTACAGAGTGTAGTTTTTGCATGCAGCAGGAAGGAAGTAAATTCGAAAGCCGACATCCTGAGGTAACTGAAATATTATAGAATTATGTTTCAGGCTGAGTAGTTGCAGAGGATTTAAGCCATATTGTTGAGTTCGCAAACCGCATTGGTAAATGCAGAGCTATGACGATTTATGAACGGCCATTTCACGGTATCTAAAAGTCTCAAAATTATGTTGCGAGCTGATTAGTTTTACGACCCTCACTAAATAATCTTTTCGAATTTCGGCTGACATTTCATGAGTTAGCCCACCTACCGTATTTGCAAGGATCCTAGATATTGGACGGGCATGCTTACAATGTACTACACGCGCTGTAAGCTTGACAACCAGTGTGCGTCCAGCAGTCATTTAAAGGTAAAGTTTTTGGTTTGTGGGCAAGAGCTCTTTCATTATTCCATCATTTTCATAGTGCGACAACAAGTGGCGACGCCGATTTTGATGTAAACATGAACAGCACGGCACCGATGGAAATCAAATGCACACATTTCTGAAATCTACACAACATTTGGTACATGCACGCAAAGCAACTGTTATTTAGAATATTCAAATTATACCCCTCAAAGACGCGGTTTTAGTTCTTCAGACTATTTGTCTTGACGGCCAGAGCGACGATAAGGATTCATCACTCCTCATCGGGAGGGTTGATACCAAGTTTTTATGAACGTATAGGAGCCAAAATGTTTTGCGCCAGAACCACGTACAATTCCCACAACTTCAAAACCATCAACTATCCTATTCTTAAGACCAAGTACTTGGTACCTTTGGTGTAAGGTAGCATTTTTGATGGACAAACGTTAGCTCAAAAAGCTCTTCACTAATAAAACAAAACAGACCTGCTGTTTTATTTATTTGGACTCCAAAATCTGCGTCGCCACTTGTCATCCCGTTAATGAAGATGATGGAATAATGATAGATTTCTTACTATCAAAACACAAGACGGCAGTTTTATATGACTGCTGGGCGTAATTTGGCTGCCGTCTTCATAACGTGGGGTGTGCGTTGTAAATTCACCTATCCAATATCGGGGGTTTTCATAAATGAGGATGAACAAGTCAATGTGTTTTGTCGGTTCCACTATAACTGGGGTTGAAGACATACGCTAGTTCAAAAGTTGCACGACCTGAGCGTTGACTTTTGCCTGTATTCAACCAACGATGTTTGCCTTAACGGTCGGGTCAGGTCAAGTCGATCGACGCTGTCTTCCGATGTCCTCCGTGTGCATAATCGTCAGATCTGGTGGACGGGAACCTCATAATTATTGGATAATTACAACGCACTCCGGAGCTGATAAATCTACCGCTTTCGACACGGAAGTCTTCAGCAAAGACTTTTTTTGCAAAATATCAGCAGGGAACGGATGCCTACAAGCAGCAAGACATAATTGATCGTGTTGGATTATTTAACCAATGATTAAATTTCAGACCATATTTTATAAACTAATATCTTTCAAATACTTATGAAACGCGTCAAACAGGGTAGTTACGATGACATTGAAGATATAATGGTATTAAGTTGTAGCCTTATGTTGGCGATTTTCTTTTGAGGTCATAATTACTACAACGTTTTTAATCTCATTTACACTGTGAAGTTGAAATGATTTAACTATTCTATGATCCCTAAAAACATTGATCTCCGTTTAACCCATCCACTTAACACTTTAAATATCTAAAGGGTATTTGACCAGAATAAATAAGGCATACTTGAATCCGTTTTATTTGAAAAACAACCTAATTCAGGAAGTTAATTCGAGGTGAGCACTTGTGTATTTGGATTCTTCCTATGACATAGACCATCACCTTCGCAAGTGCGTCCCTACGTGTTTTATCAGTATCACACACCAGCACCAGGATTTTCCTTCGACGGCTATAGTTATGGTAGAGCATTTATCGCTCCCTGATCTAGCATTATTTTAATCATACGTGATTTTCACCTGCCTTGGCCGGATTCTCAGATGAAATATTCAGCAGCGTCCGTTGCTTCAGAGCTTTCGTGTGTATTTCGAGATAAACAGATTTAACAATGTTTTCCCGGAATAAATTTGAATAAGGCAAAGGCGACAAAGCATGCAGAATTTAGTGACGTCATAAATTGCGAGACCTCTCATTCAGATGCGTACGGTCATTGCATAGTTATATGACAAGGCAAACTGTTCAATCAACGACCGACCTAGAGAGATAAAATGCATTCAGGAGCACCACAACGGCCATCCCAGTTAGATCAGCTAAAGGCATTTTACCTATGCGCGCCACATCAAACTGCATTTATGAGTTTACATGTAGTTGCGGATGCAAGTACATTGGGCGCACGCAAAGGCAGTTGACAGCTCGGTCAGCTGAACACATGCCGAAGTGGCTGCTTAAGGCGGAAAATAAGGTACCCAGAAGCTCAATCACAAAGCACCTATTGGACACGGGCCATACGGTGGACCAAATGGTTGCATTCAAGGTCCTGCTTCGGGCGACGACCGGGCATCTCTTGCGCTTTGCGGAGGCCGCTGCAATACGGAGGAGGATACCAGAACTCTGTAAGCAGTTGGACCACGTGATAAACCTGGCACTACCATGGTAAGGATCGATTATGTAAGCTCTCTTATTTCGCCCCCACCCACCCCTCTCCCCGGCATGACTGAATACTGACCGCGCGTTGCACTCTAAATCACGCCGGACAAGTTCTCACTGTAAACCTAACTCTCATACTTGAATGACTTCGCTCCCCCTCCCCCCCTCGTCATATGCACGCGCATTCTAGACCCATGTTTCAGGTTACCTATCACGTTTTATCTCTCTAGGTTGATCGTTTATTGAACAGTTTGCCTTGTCATATAACTATGCAATGACCGTACGCAGCTGAATGAGAGGTCTCGAAATTTATGACGTCGGTAAATTCTGCATGTTTTGCCACCTTTGTTTTATAAACAGATGTCTCTATCGATTTTCCTCACTGTATCATTCAATCCTTGAAATTTCTCCTCTCCTCTCATTCACGATATCCCGAAACTGCAATCTGAACGACACCATCGTTGATATTTACGTTGTAATACTTTGAAAAAGGAAGTCACCTTTACGACTACTTTAACTGAAGTCTACCGGTCAGGATTTAATCTATCCGGACCGCATCAGTTTCAGCTAATGGAGTATCTACATTTACTGCTACCTCAGTACGGTCAGTATTGGTTACTAATTTGTGTTTAGGTCGGAATTCCGAGTTAAGAAGAATCAATTCTGATAATTGAGTCCTACAAAGTCCATGCGCAAAACGACAAACTTATTTTTTTAACCCTGGACTGACGAAGAGCATTTAAATTTTTTAAAGGTTCTCACTAGTAAAGTAAATTTTGGTGTTTTCGGTTGGCTTGCCCAAAAACAGTAACATAAGACCATTTTCTTGTAATACTGGATCTGCAGCAGTTGTGAAATGTAAATGTGAAGAATCGCTTTATGCAGAACCAAAAACGGCTGATTGAATAGTACTGTAGAAATTTCGGTAAACTGGTTCTTCGCCCCCAGGCGTCGAGCCTGCAAACTGAATGTTGGACGGGAATGTTTGGCTCCACCCATTGTCCAATTTGACACTGGTTTCCGGTTGCATTGCAGAGCCCCCGGGGTTCATCGCGCCGCCGTATAGTTTAATATCACCATATAGCGCTGGCGATATTTCCTCCTGTTCTTCGTTCTCGCCGTTATCTTTGGCCTTACAGCATAATATGGAAATTAACATGATGGCTGTAGTGAGATGTAGGGCGGCGACAGCGGCAATTGCACAGAATGAGATGGATATTTGCTTCTGAAATATTAGAGAACATACGCTGTATTTTTTGGCAATGGCTTTTATAGTAAATGAGAGTAAGTGGAGGCGACCTTCCAATGATTGCTTGTCAAAGGCCTGAGTTTTATTATATTAATGTGGGCAGGTAAGTATATAAGAATTTAAAAAGAACAATAATTGCAGCGGGATTTTTTAAGATCACATTTAGTAGCCGTACCTGTTAGGGGTTAAGGGTTAGGGTTTGAGGTTAAGGGCTAGAAACTAGAGTAGGGGTTAGGGGTTGATGTTAGGGGTTGGGGTTAGGGTTATGGATCAGGGATTAAGGTTAGGGGTTAGGGATTGAGGTTAGGGGTTAGGGTTAAGGGTCAGGCTGTGGCTTGCCTAATGCGGGTACGGCTGCGAAATTAGATTCGACCGAGATCACTGCCAAGCCTGCAAAAACCATCTTTTTTAAAAAAACTT